AAAGCTCTGCAGCAGTCACTGTTCCAGACACAGAAGGGAAGGGAGGTTTTTTTCAGCTTGCTGCTCAGAGGTAGAATGGCTGTGACGGTTCAGAAAAGCAATAGCAGAACACACTGAAAACAGGCAGCATGAATCCTGCCTGTGACTGCTTTCTCCTGTGCTGATGCAATGTGTTGCTTTTCTAACACAGTTCTTTAAGAGATCCAGCCCTCTCTTTAATGCAACAGCACAAACGGCCAACAGAAATGGGAATATTCAAAACCTTGCTTTAAGCCAGACCTGTACTACCAACAGCCAATTTCTCTGGGGAAAAACAGCATGCATAAAAGAAGAGCTCTCTCTCTTCCCAGCACAACAACCATGTGGGCAGAGGCTGTTGGCATGAACATAAAGACCAAAGCACATAAAGAACTGGAGACTTTGCTCACATTCAGTGGGCTATGCCATCAGGAAGCCTATCTTGCCCATATAAACTGTGTAGCCAATCCAAGAGTTTGGCCTGACAAAAGCACTGGGATACTGGGAAACTGTTTCCATTCCCCAACCTGGCTTTAAGAAGGAGTAAAGGAAGAGAGGTGAAAACACAAGGGAGAGAATGACAGGCAGGCAATTTCAACATGCAAGAGCCATGGGGAGAACAGAAGCCTTTCCAGGACTGCTTAGCAATCATGTGCAAGGAATAGGTAGCATGCAAACATAACCCTGTAAAAATGGCAGTGAGCACTGTGCAGAGAAACACTGTGGAAAGGGTTCTGCATCTCCCATAGCAAGCCAGCCTCAGGCTTCCTGCAGCTAATCTGTATTTGAAGTAGAGGGCAGACACTCAGCTCCATGCTGGAAGGACATGAAGCGAGAAGGCAGTGCCAACCACAGGCCTGCAGGCTCAGAGAAAAGCCATTTCATACTGCAAGCCTTTGCCCCACAAGCTTGGCAGCGACTTCACAAATCTCACCCTCTCTCCGTACGCAGAATGTATGTATGTCTTTCCCATTCCTTGATTTTTATTTTTCTTCTTTTAATCAACTTTCTAGGAAATGCATCAGGCCTGTCCCCCAACTCACTACCCTAGACAAGCCAGAATGCTTCTGACAGATGAAGGCTGCAAGGCAGACAGGTGCCTCCCTGCAAAGGCCATGCTCAAGGCAGGTCCTGCACACATCAACTTGCCCTATGGATAGGAAAGTGTGGAAAAGAGTCTGAGCTGTACATGGCACAGGAAAGAGGTTGAGGACTGCAGTTCCAGGTAGCAGGCACTCCCACAACAAACACAGAGCTACCTTCAGACAGGCCACCTGCCCCACGGTGCAGCCCATTGAAGCTAGAGCATCAGGACCAGCAACACAGTTGCTAAGATCAAAGTGGCAGAGGGACGCAGGGACCCCCACCTCTTTCCCTTTCTGGAAACCTGCATTTCAGCTTCCAGCTCCACCTGCAAGCAAGCTTGAAACTCTCCAGGTTCATTTCCAGAGCCAGGAGGAAGAACAGACAGCTGTACTGAGATCAGACATAGCAAAACCTTCCTCTGACTCATTCAGTATCCCAGAGGCCACAGCCCATTCAAGGCTCTGCCATTCCCTGTCTCCGCTCCCCAACACCTCCTGAGCCATCAAGAAATACCTGAGACCCTGCAGAGCCAGTTCAGGCAATAGGAAATCTGCCCCTTTGCTTTGAGGCTCCAAGCAGGGCCTCCTTGTGATGAGAGCCAGTGTGGAGAACAGGCAGCAGGCTGGCACACTGGCCATTTGCTGCAGGAGCTGCTGGATGATTTGGGGGGGTGGGGTTTGTGCATCTTCAGGACTTGACACTGTTGGCTACCCAGCAAGCTCTCAGTGGCAGGAGGAGGCAGGGAAGGAGCAGCCTAGGCGACTGTCACTAAGAATTGCTTGGTTCCCACCCTATGGAATGCAGCTGCTAGACTGAAAAAGCCTTCATGGCCCTGTCATTCAAGGACATGAAGACAAACTCCATTTTCCAAACATTCCCATCATCTTGTCTCATCTGCATACCTCAAAAAGCCCTGGGGAAGATCCAGTCCCAGCCTCCAGGAAGCCTTATCATCTGTGCCCATCCCTACCCACGGCAGAATTCTCAGATGCTTTGATATGCAAATCAGCCACAGGATCCATAACCAGCGCTGTCTGCAATTAACAGCGCACACGGAGTATCCTATACCCAGGGCCTCCTCCCTCCCCAAGAACCACACGGCTGCACAGGCTTCGTATCAGATGATACAGGTCCCAGCTGTCTTCGGTGGGAGCAGGAAGTGCTGCCTGCAGTCCTTGGATTTTCAGCACACGGCCTCACCCTGGCCACCAGGATGGAGATGGGGCACTTACAGAAAGAATGCAGGCTGAGGTAGCACCTCGGTGTGGATGGGCAGATGACAGAGGAGATGACGGCAGGATGCTGTGGGGCTCCCAGGGACAGGAGGCTCACACAAAGTGTAATTAGCAACAGAGAAAAAACAGGACCTGGGCACTGCCAGCTCTAAGTACATTTACTGCAAACCTCAGGCTACCTCGGATTTTCTAGAAGTTGTAGTTCCCAGAATGAAGAGATTTTGTGAAGATTTTTTTTTTTCCACGTAAACAATATAAAAACCCCTCCAAACAAGTTCCTAGCCCACTTTATTACTACGGAAAGCTGAAAAATATAACCAAGGATATTTTAAGCCCAGAAAGAAAAAAAACCATATGAAACCCCTACGCAAACTAAAAGCAAATCACATTCAGGATTTTTCTTTTCTAGGCTCAACTCATGGCTTCAGAACAGTTCAGGACAGTTGCACTGCACTCCGGTCAAAGGGCAAGAAAACGGAGCATTGCAAAGCCTCGTGGCAATGTCTTCTTGACATGAAAACTGACTCCCTCAGAAAATACAGTAGCTTCAGTTCCTTCCAAGGTTACCAAAGACAGGAACAGACAAAAATAGGGCAAACTTAGTGCAACAAAACATACTTATGAGTCAAACCAGAGCCTCTTCCCAACCCCCTCAAAGGCATCTTCTTTCATGTTTATTTTGCTCTTATGGTATCCAGGTGAAGACTGCAGAATGGACGTCTCTCCCCATAAAGATAGCGTATTCCTACTACTAAAAGGCTCAAGATGAAAAAGGCCTTCCTCATAGATACCAGCTAATTGCAGTCATTAGAAGTAATGCTTTGCTATTTCTGGTTGAATGGAGTCCTCCTGGAGTCAGTTACAAGCTGAGTGGTCAGCTTTGCGCTCTCTCAGAAGCATTAAGAGTCATAAAAGCTATTAGGGACTGTACAGTGAGATTGTTTGGTGGGGAGGGGTAATGGTCCCTGCCAAGGACTTCCAAACGTTCTGTCCCACACTCAGATGGGGCATCGGCAGCACCACCCAAAAGGCACCTGAGCCTTACAACCTTTCAGTAAGTAGCTTTTCGACCCCTGCTAATCGGATGTTCCTGCCCCACAGCCCCATGGCCTTCCCCGTGTGCTTGCCCCAGAGAAGGACACCACGGAGCAGGACATTTTCACAGTAACAAACCCAGGAGAGAGGGGACTCCTTTCGGATTATGCACAACTAAATTAGCCACTCTAAGTACACACTGATGGGCTTTTTGTTTCTAACTTCTGCTATCGAGAGGAGAAAGAGAGGGAGGTGCCCAGAACCTCAAATTGCCAAAACACCTGCTCTCCGTCCAGCTGAGAGCTACCAAACCTGCTGAGAGCCCCAGGCTGACTGCAGCCACATTGCAGATTTTTGGCGTGATGCCCCTCTCCAGCAGGGAGCTACGTAAAAGGTGCACTCTACGGCAGGAGGAAAAAACATGGTTTGCTGATGTGAAGGAGCTGGCGAAGAGCAAAAAGGGATTGCCTGGCTATCTGGCCACGGACATGAGCCATATCCAACAGCCCTCTGTCAAGTACTACAGGGGAGGAGAAGCAGGGAAATATCAGAAACCTGCTCGCTACTCCCACCACCCTTAGAACATCCCTTCTGCCTCCCTGCTGCTCTCCTTCGCAGCGGTGCCTGCAGGAGCGGCGGGGGGCGGGCAGAGGCCTCTCCGAGCCCGAACACGCACAAAAGCACCGACCGCAGAAGAGACGGGCGCCCCGCGGGCAGGGGTCCAGCGACCCCCGAGGTGCACAAACGCAACAGCAGCCGAATCGAGGGACGGCAAAGGACAGAAGGAAACCCTGCGCGGCCTTGGGGCGGCGGGCGGCCCTCCGCGCCCCACGGGCGCCGCGCCGGGCGCGACCCCCACCCCGCTCCGCCCCAAGATGGCAGCAGCGCCCCCAGCCCCGGCCG